TGACTGACTTCATGGAAAGTCAGCTGGTTATAAATATCAACCATACCTTTAACTTACTGGTTTAGCAACACCTAAGTTAGCATAATATTTTACCAAACGACTGATCACCCTAGTATAGACAGGGTGACAAAATTAACTGTGGTACCTCTCTTGTTGGGTTCAGATGACAGCCTTGAAGTTGTCTCTGACCTTTGCCTGTGGCACTATGTGGCTTGTCCCATCGATCTCATGTGTGAGCAGAGGCTTTGTGATAATAGTCCCATGTTATGTACAGCTGTTACGACTTACGCAGTGAACTTGACCCATGTCCCAGTTCTCAGTGGCTTCACTAAATACTCTAAATATAGATAGCCATTCTAAAACTGAATAACCACCAGTTCATCTAAGATATCCTAGGAATTCGGTGTGTGTGTGTGTAATAAAAATTATTTCTTGGCTATATAACCAAAGTTGATTTTTTTTCAATAAATTGAGACTCATATAATTAAATTTCAAGATATATCTTTTCTCTGACATCCTGATTCCGTTACCATGGAGATTTTTCTAACATGATAGAAAGTGTTGGATTAAGTCTTGGCTCAATCCAAATGGCAGTGCTCTGATACCTACCCAGTAGCCTAAAGACAGCAGAAGTGAGGATGGGGCTGATGTCGCATCAGTGTACGTGGAGGTAGACTTGTGGCCATCTCAGCAGAGGCTGTGTGTGTCAGGGAAAGACTTTCAGACCAGGTTCAATGTGTTCAAGATGAGTTTGGCATTGCTTCTCAGCTCTGGGAAGTTTGACAGGCTTCCTCTGCTGTAAGGGGTTGTTTTAGAGGCCTAATAGAATGCATGCAGATGCACTTCATGGAAGAGTTAGACGGTGTTAATTGCTGTTTTGCGGTAGTCTGGAGGCTCCACAGCTGAGGTGACCAGATTACTCACAACTTTGTCTTCAAACTGATTCGATCTTAGGCTCTTGGAGACTGTGGCAAGGTATGACGTCCTCATGATGTCCAGCTGTAGAGGTGGAGTAAGGTGACCTTGGCTGTGTGCAGCATGGTGAGGGATGGATCTGCCAGGGTGTGGCTGAATGTGTGTAGATAGATAGGGAAGGGTGCAGTAGAGGCAGGAGAGACCCATGTCTCCAGATTCAGAGGTCCAGCCCCTGTGCTCACTGGCTGGATTGCTCAGAACATGCAAGGGCAGTCGGGAGTAAGGCACAAATGTGGGGATACTTAGCACGATCAGTTCTTAAACTATATGACTAGAGTCACCAGGAGACTGAGGAGTGAGGCTCAGGAGAGCCAGGGCTCTAGATGAACCCTGTTCAATATCCAGAATACCCTCCATTATTAAGCATTTGAGACTTGTTCTGTGAAAGAATAAATTTGTTGAAAGAATAAATAAATGAGAAACAACACTGTGCTTGACTAGAGACTTGGTCAGACAACTTTCTGAGAAAGAGAGATGTAAGTAGAGGAACGTACACATTCATGCATTACACGTGTTCACACGCCTGCAGGTATGCATTAAGCATGGCTGCCCAACAGACCATCATCCCACCACTGTGAACATAACAGTGCAGAACACCTCAGGCCTGCTGCAGAGGCCCCTCCTGCATGCCGACACAAGGATATCCTGGACAGACTCCTGAACTACAGAGTTCAACTCGGATTGGCTAATTCAGTAGGTCTAAGGTATCTGAGAATCCACAAGGCTCACAAGTTCCCAGGGGACACTGGTGCCCAGGGACCTCGCTTTGAGAACACCGGCTGAGAGAGTAAATTCAGTACTGAGTAGTTCAGGGCACGAGGGTCTGAGGTAACCGTGGACTGAGTGTGGAACCTCTCTGTTTCTACTGGATGGTCCCAGCGATCTCTGTGTGGCCGCCAGAGGTCCAGATTGACAGAAGGGTCCAGGAATCATGGCTGACGCTAGTACCTTTGCTAAGCCCTGATCTGTGCACTTACCATATGCTGTCCACCATGAGAAACTCCTGGTTTCTCTGCTTATAGATGACACCGAAACACTGAAAGTTTGTACCACCCACCGCGATTTTCCACACCACTGAGGAACAGGTCGGGCCACTCAGCTGTCTTTCTGAATGCCTTCAAGCCATTCCAATGGCTCCACTGTAAACTTCCATTAAGAAAGGGGCTGCTTTCTCTGTGGTGAGCTGTCTGCCCACTTCATATGAGGACTGCCCAACTTCCTGCCTTTCTCCTTTGCCTGTTTGGCCCGGAAGCTGAGAGCTACGCTTCGTGGGGAGTGGCTTTCCTTAGCCTTACGTGAGGTCTTTAATGTGATTACTTCCTCACTCTTTGCTTTTAAAGCTTTGTGGTATCTTTCAGAAGCTTTCCAAAATAATTTCGAATAGGTGGATATCATAGATTAATAACTGAAAGGAGGGATTTTGGGGACTCCCCCCCACACTTTCTCGTGGTGTACTTTGAAGAGGAATCTGAATCAGCAGTAGGCCAGTGCCCATGAGCAGTGGTGATGGTTGTTTTGAGTTGAACTGAGGGGTAACTAGCTGATGGTAGACCATAAGTGTGCATGTGCATGTCTGTGTGTGTGTGTGTGTGTGTGTATGTGGTGAGAGGTTCTTTTCAGAACAGCTAATACTGTGACTGTGGGTAATACCGCTGTATTGGCTGGGGATCTGGGTAGAATAAGGGGACATGAAGAAAGGTAAGGAGTGTAGGTGTCCCCCTACCCCCTCAGCTAGTCATGAGAGCTGCTCTAAATTGCCAGGAAGGACTAAAACCCCAGAATGTGACAGCCAAGATCAAGTTTGTCTCTCTCTTTCTTTCTTTCTTTCTTTCTTTCTTTCTTTCTTTCTTTCTTTCTTTCTTTCTTTCTTTCTTTAGGTTTTTTGAGACAGGGTTTCTCTGTGTATCCCTGGCTGTCCTGGAACTCACTCTGTAGACCAGGCTGGCCTCAAACTCAGAAATCTGCCTGCTTCTGCCTCCCAAGTACTAGGATTAAAGGCGTGAGCTACCACTGCCCGGCTTCAAGTTGTGTTTCTTCCTGAGGTTGTTCCCCTCGGGTTTTACTCATAGTAACAGAAAGCTGACTAAAAGCCCAGGGCACATAGCTGACATGCACAGATTTACAACCCTGAGAAGCCCTAATTCTGTCTCAAGTCTGTTTTGGCCCAGGCCTGGCTGTGAACTCTGGCTCCCCACTGAGAGCTTACAGCTTTCACCTCCAGGCCTCACCTAAAATGGAGACAATGAGAACAGGGTGTCAATGTCAGGACAGTGCCCAGCCCATAGCAGGTGCCCAGTAAGCCTGCTATTGCTAGTGCTTTGCCACAGGCTACACTTCATAAAAAGACCAGTGTGTACATCTGCAACTGCTGTAGATTTTGTTTTCTAGAATTTTCTGTGTAGAACCAAGACAACACAGTGTAACCTAGGATAGTTGGTCTGAGGAGGGCTACAGAGGTCACTTCTCCAGTAGCTCCATGCTGGTACTTTTTTTTTTTTTTTTTTCTGATTCCTGGTTATAGCTGAGCACTGCAGAAGCCTTGAGGGTTCCTGAGATCACCCACTTAGCAGTCAGAGACTAAGATTTCCATGGTTCAGAGGCTCTCCTCCGTGCTCATTGGTCCCATGGATTTTGAGCATCCTTGCTGGGGAAATCTCCGAAGGACCACCTCCTAGTTTCAGCTGATTTGCTTGGTTTCATTATGCTATCACTTCCAGTTTTTCTTTCAGTGTCTTTCCTACTAAACTCAACTGCCTGGGGCCAGTTTCACGGAGAGGTCATGTGTCACACGATGCCTTGTCTATAGATGGTCATGGTCGTGTTCCTTTTTTGAGCTCAGGGAGTGAGAGGGAATAGCTTATTGGTTCCTTGCATGAGATGTTATGTACCGAAGCTTGGGGATCTGAGGGCCTAGTATTAGCTGTGGGTCAGGGGTGGGTACTCTGAGGGTACAATGGCTTCCTTCAGGCCTGAGGGCAGGCAGCAATGGGACGGATCCCCCTCAGATTCTCCACCTAGGTCCTCTGCCTAATGTACTGCCTACAGGAGGAGGCTGTCAGGATCATGTGCTGCCACCCAGCAGTGAGGGTGCACAGAGCAGCCGTGCTGAGTCTGTACTCTAGACTCCCGGGCTGGAAGCAGGTGGAGGAGAAAACTATAAACTGTCACCATGTGGACTTTCTGCTTCAGATTCTATTTGTCTGAGCTTACTCTTTCAGAGCCTTTTTCCAGACTCATAAAAAAATGAAATTAAAACATCTAGGGAGATGCTCAGCCGGTAAAAGCGCCTTCCACAAAAGCATGAGGACTGAGTTGGGGTTCCCAGAACCCAGGTTAAAGACAAGACGGAACATGGCGATGCATGCTGTAATTCTACTGCTGGGTGCTGGGTAGAGACACCGGTGGGTCCCTGGAGCTAAACAAATAGATGCATTTCATTGAGAGATTGTTTTTCAAAAATGAAGGTGGCAAGCAATCAAGGAAAGATAAACTTCATATTGCCCTCTGGTCTCTATACTCAAGTGCACACATATGCATTTGTACACACACGTCAAAAAGGGAAAGAAGGAAAAAAAGACATCATGGCACTAAGGGGACAGACTCAGGAGGATGTTTAGTTTGAGGCAAGTTGAGGCTTCATCGTGACACCTTGTCTCAAAAAATTTAAAAAAAAAAAGGAGTAAAGAAGTAACAGAGCAATAAAAATATTTGTTGATCTTGCAGAGGACCTGAGTTCAGATCTCAGCATCTGTGTTAGGCAGCTCATAACTGTGAATAACATGGCATCGACACACACATGCACACGCACGCATGCACACGCACATGCACACACGTACACACACAAATGAGGGAGGGATGGAGAGTGCACTTCAATAAATAACCAAATGCTTAAGTGTTTCCAGCAGTGAGAGACCCACCAGGCCTGACTTGCCCCTTCAGGCCTCTGCAGCTTGTGTTGACACTGGGAATGCACAGGGGTCTCAGTGCCTGGCCGTGTCCCATTTACAATCTCCTTTGTCTCCCAGGTACAGGAGGCTGCAAGTCGAGGCTTGAAGTTCGTTAGTGTGGTGCCTCAGTACCGGTCCTCTGTGAGCTCAGCAGGCAGCAGGCATCTCGCTCCTGTTGCCAACAGTGTTGAAGATACCACGGATGTGAGATACACCTTTGGGGACCATTCACCCTTGGAAAATGATACCCCAAAGGCTGCAGATATGGATGCTGCCACTGTAGGAGTGAACCGAAGATCAGAGCCCAACCCAGGATCCACAGAGGAGATACCCAGCGCCCAGCAGCCTGGAGAAGAGAATGAGGCTGGCGAGTTTCCACTGCGGGATTTGAGGCCAACACTGGATGGATCAGAGGGTGACCCCTCAAATGGGCATGAAGAGCTGCCCTCCAGGAGTAAGTGTCAATGCCAGGGGTTCTGACATGCTTGGGGAGGCTAACGGCTTTTTTAGTATTCCTCGGGGGCCTCTTAGGGAAAAGGAAATGAAATTAGTATGTAGACACAGCAGTACATCAAACAAGAGAAAGTTTATCAAGTGGCTATCTGGGCTTTGCAGCTGTTCACCCACTGCAACTGTGGATTGTGTGGGGTGAGCAGAGCCCAACGAAACTGACTTTCGGGGACTCCAAAAGTGGCTTCTGGTCAAAATAGTCTCATTCAGTGCTCCAGGGTTGCCAGGGACTTCTCCACCCTCACACCCACACAGAGAGTGAACCACTCTCTAGTGAGCTCGGACACTGTGCTGCTGAATGTCTGCCTAACCAAGGGAGTGAGAACTCAGGAGGGCGTACCATGCAAGAGTAGGGTTTCTGCTTGCTTGGATGGAAACATCCTGACTACAAGAAGCACATACAGTTGACAGATGGGCACCATGGAGAAAACACTTTGTCACCACTGCAGGTCTTCTCAGTCAGTGCTAATGGCCATTTGCATTGATGATGTCACAGAACAACCTATCCATAACGGACAGCATTTATTAATACTTCCCAGTTACCAGACTCTGTGCCATCTTCTAAAGGGGCCATCTCTCTGTTCTCTGTGCGTGCTTATGATTCTGGTGAGCTCTCTTACCACTTCCGGCTGGGAGCTGGCAACTCTGGCATAGGACCACAGGTAGGGTTGACACCACTCACGCCACCTCTCTACTTGGTCTTCCCAGTGTAATAGAATGAAAAGTCTTCCTGAAGCCTTCTGTAACTCTGAGTCTCCTTTTCTCTTACTTTTGCCTAGAGATGTGGGTTCTTGTGTTAGCAATGGAGCCTCTCTGGCCTTTGGAAGGTGACCATGAGTTGCCTGACAGTAGAATACCCATGAAGCCGTACTAGGGCATCTTCTGTACCATGTCCCAGTGACCATTTCTGCTCTGTGTTAGCCGGCATTTGAAATTGGTCTCTTGTGAGTGGTACGGGTGCTTGGAGAATAGGGACAGTGAGTTGATTTTATTTTATCTTTTGCTACGACAGTACTCCTTGAGAAGATAATGATGGGACAGTCAGATCTGAAATCTAATGGCAGGGTTTCCCTGAAATGGGGGTGGGGGGAGTGCCTCATTTCTGAGATATAGTAGAAGTATTATTTATTTAAGGCCTTGATTTTGGTTTAGAGCTACTGATATGATTTTTCATTTCACTGAGGTAGACTACCGTCTCACTCTAATAATGGTAGCTCAGGTTTAGATCTGGTGTGAGGGTCCTAGGAAGCTCCATCTTGGGGCTGGGGCCTGAGCATGCTGAATTCTGAAGAGGAGAGTGACTATGGAACCGTGTGGAAGATGAGGGCTCAGGTAGGCATGAAACCCAGAAGGATGGGATACAGCCACTGGAGACAGGCAGCACCATGGATAAGAAACCAGTGTCTGTGTACACTTAGCTAGGTGGGAGTCTTGTCCAGATACATGCCGCTAACTTCCCCCACGTGAACTGTTATTCAGGGCCATAGCTGCCCAGTGCTACCCCTCACAGAATCCTGACTTTTTAGAAGAAATGAGACAGTTAATCCCAAGAGTCTGTCAGGAATGTGGATCCTGTGTTCTAGAACACACCTTTCTCCTAGACCTCAAGAAGGTTCACGTTCTGCGTTTGACCTTTAGCCCTGAGTTCATAGGACACTTCCCAGATGCCCAGTACCCTGTTTCTGCTCTCTGGCTCCTTGCTTCTTTCCGTTGTCCAGGTGCTGCTATGGCTGAAGATTGGAACCAAGCCCTCTCATAATGCCCAGAGCACTGCAGCCTTCGTTTCCTAGGGGATCCTTGTCCTCTTCTGCAAATTCAAATCCTTTGAGCACTGGTGGGTTAATGTGTCATGTAGGCCTCAGTCCAACAGTGAAGTGGAAAGTGGGTTTCCAGCTGGGGATAGGCCAGGGGCTTGGGCCACAAAGCCTATTTTAGTCTCCCTACATACACAGCCACCCCCACCCTGCCTTGCAAGCAGCACTCTCCTTCCCTCTCCAGCTTTTTACAGTCAGTTGGTAGACACAAGTCACGAGTGGAGGGCCTAGGTCCAGTTTTCCCCAGGTGTTATCTCCATTACCCTCTCACCACAACTATGACAGGAGATGCTACTGTGGTTCCCAGATCACAGATAAGGAAAGTTGCCTTCCTGAAGGCTGGACATCCAAGGACCCTGTCTCCACAGGTCAAAGCCCTTATCTGACCCCAGCTTCTCTCCTGAGCCTTTCTCTAGGGAGTTTAGCTGTTTCCTTCCCTGAGGCATCTGTTAACTGCCCTGCCCTGAAAACACTCACAGGGCACCCAACCACAGCTTCATCATCCCATACCCTGCTCAGCTCTCTGCTTGCTGTTCTCTCAGCCCATCCCCAGCCCCCTAAGGAGATTGAAGTGTTTAAGCCTCTTTCTGCCAGGCCTACAAGCACAGCAAGACAATTTAAAAAGATTCCAGAGGTTGCTTCCCTCTTTGCCCCTCCTCTTCCTCTGTTGATTTATTTCCTATGTAGGAAGCAGCTAGCAATAAATCCAGTCAGGGACAGTTCACAGTGGTCTTTCAGGAACTACAGGGAAAATGACTGGGCTGACCCCATCCCTCCATCTTGGTCCAGGTGTTACAGGGAGAGCAGGTGGGCTGACCCCGTCCCTGCATGGTGGTCCAGGTGTTACAGGGAGAGCAGGTGGGTGACCCCGTCCCTGCATGGTGGTCCAGGTGCTACAGGGAGAGCAGGTGGGTTGACCCCATCCCTACATGGTGGTCCAGGTGCTACAGGGAGAGCAGGTGGGTTGACCCCATCCCTATATGGTGGTCCAGGTGTTACAGGGAGAGCAGGTGGGTTGACCCCATCCCTGCATGGTGGTCCAGGTGTT